CCTAGGTCCAACTTAGGCAATTAATGTTTTCCAAAACGTCTCTCAGGGTATCTCTGTCCACCTCATGGGTTCAGCCCTTCCCCACATTTACCACCTCTGCTTGGTTTCATGAGAAGACCAAACTCTCTTCTTTGGGGCTTCTTTGGGACATTCACCTCCAGTGATCTCAGGATTCTTTTTCTTTTGTCCTGAGTTTTCCCCCCTCACTATGTATGTAGGCACTTTTTTGCTTTTCTCTCCAGCTTCTGTGAATATTTTAAAAAGATTTTTTTAAATTGATTTTTTTAGAGAGAGAGGAAAGGAGAGGGAGAAAGAGAGAAACATCAATGTGAGAGTGAAACATCAATTGGCTGCCTCCCACAGGCCCTGTGCCAGGAATTGAGCCTGCAGCCTGGGCATGTGCCCCCAACCAGTGAATCAAACCAGCAACTCTCCAGTGCACAGGAGGACACCCAGCCAATTGAGCCACACCACCAGAACTGGGAGTTTTCATTTTCTATTTTTTTCCTGTTGGAAACCTTAGTTTCTTCTTGCTTTCTGTCCAAGAAAGATCAAGAAACGTTTTCAATTTATCCATGAATAGATGGATACCCAGAAAAAACCTGAGAATATTATGCCAAAAATATTTCAGTCAGTCCCAAGCATTGAAGACAAAAGGAATAATTTGTTTTCACACTAAACATAAAGGGGGAAAAACAGTCTATTTGGATGCCAGGCGGAATACAGTATTTAAAATTAAAACTAGTGCCTTAGCCCTAGCCAGTTTGGCTCAGTGATTAGAGTGTTGGCTCTCGGATTCCACCTGCATTCCATCTCCCCTACTTCCACCCACCAAAATTATTTCCCCTCTCTATTATGTAATTCCCAACAGCATATAGCATGCTGTTATTTCTCTGGCCTTAAAAAAAATTCCTTTTCACTCCAGTTCCTCCAACAGCTTGCCCTATTTCTTTGTTCCCTTTTGCAACAAATTCCTTAAAATAATTGATTACACTGTCTCCAGTTCCTCTTTTTCACTCTTTCTCCAACTCCAATCTGGCTTTGCCCCCATCATTCCACCAAACTGTGCTTTTCTGGATCACCAATGATTTTGACATTGCTCTAAGGAGTGATCCTTGGTCTTCATCTTGACTTACAAGCAGCATTTGTCAAGATGATCAATTGATCACTCCTTCACCTTGATGCAATTTCTTTTTTGGCTTCTGAAATTCTAAACTGTCCAGGTTTTCCTCCTATCCAAGTGGTCCTTGTCTTAGTCAGCTCAGACGGCTGTAACAAAATACCATAGGCTGGGTGGCTTGTAACAAAATACCATGAGGGCTTTCTCTTCCCTCTCCCTGCAATATTTACTCCATTTAGTTCTCACAGTTCAGGTAGCTGAGAAGTCTAAGATCAAGGTGCCGGCAGATTTGGTTCTTGGTGAGGTCCCTCTTCCTGTCTTGCAGACAGCTACCTCAGTTTGTTCATGTGGACTTTCCTTGGTGCATTTGTGTGGAGAGAGACCTTCCTCTTCTTATAAGGACACTAACCTCATCATGAGAGGCCCACCTAATTAAACCTAATTATTTCCCAAAGGCCCCACCTCCAAATACCCTTATGTTGGGAGTTAGAATGTCAACATATACATTTTGATGGGACGAAAACATTCATTTCATAACAGTCACTATTCCTGAAACTCCTTTGCTGATTTTTCCTATTCTTCCAGACTTTATGCTGGCCTGTGTCAGGACATGGGTCTTGGTCCCTTTTCGTTTCAACTTCACTGCCTTGATGGCCTCATTTAAGTTTGTGGCTTTAAACATTCATTGATATACCTACCAATGACTGTGAAATTTACGTTTTTAGCTCAGACCTCTTCCCTCAACTCCAGATTTATGCATCAGACAGCCTATTCAGCATTTCTTGTTTGGTGTCTAATAGACACTTATTTAACCTTTTGAACACACAGAATACAGTTATAACAATTGTTTCTATGTCCTAGTCTGCTAATTCTTACATTTATGTCAGTTGGGTTTTGATGGATTTTTCTCATTATGGATTATATTTTCCTGCTTCTTTGTGCGCTTCATATTCTTCGATTGGTTGCCAGACTTTGTGAATTTTATTTTTTGGGTGCTGGATATTTTTGTAATTCTATAAATATTCTTGAGTGTTGTTCTGGGACTCAGTTAAGTTACTTGGAAAGAGTTTGGTCTTTTTGGGTCTTGCTTTGAACATTTGTTAGATGGTACTAGAGCAGTGTTTAATCTGGGGCGAATTATTACCTACTACTGAAGCAAGACCCTTCTGCATGCCTTTATCCATTGCCCCATTAATTCTGAGGTTTTCCAGTCTGGCTGATAGGATCAGGCACTGTCCCCAGCCCTGGTGATCACTGGGGACTGTTCACTCTAACCTTCTCATGTGCCTTTTTATCCCCCTATCCTTGAGTAATTTCCTTACACTTGGAAGAATACTTGTAGGAATCTTCTGCAGCTCTCTGGGGTTCTCTGGTATAGTTTTCTCCTCTCTAATAGTCTTGTGAGCTCTAGTGGCCTTGGTCTCCCTGCACTTTTGACTCTGTCTCCTCAACTCAGAGAGTCAACTGAGCCCTACCTGGGTTTCTCCTTTCAGCACCTCAGCTTGGAAACCCTCTCAAGGCAGCATGCTGGGGCAACTGTAGGGTTCAGTCTCTGAGGAATCATTGTCCTTTGTTATCTACAGTCCAATGTCTTTAAAACTGTTGTTTCATGTATTTGCTGTTTTTGCTGTTTGTTGCCCTTGTTTGTCTGTTTTGGGGTGGTGGTGGTAAATCTGATCCCTGTTATTCCATCTTGGAGCTAATCTAATATGCATCTGAAACTCATCATATCAAAATGGAACTCCTCATGTTCTTCATCAAACCTGCTCGTCTTGTTGGCTTCTCTTTTTCTCATTACTCTTCCTGCAATATTTACTTTATCTGGAAATATTTTGGCTCTTCCTTCAAATTTGATCCATAATTTTATCACTTTGCATCACTTACACTGCTGCCACCAGGTCTGAGCTACCATTACTTCTTACCTGGATTACTATAATTGCCTCCTGATTGGCCTCCTTTATTCCCTTTTTCACACATAGTCTGACCTCATTTCAGCAGCCAGAATGAGCCTTTCATGTTACTCTGCACTGGCTGTCTTTGCAATTTCTTAATGGATCAAGCATGTTTTTGCCTTAGGGCCTTTGCACTGGCTGTTTCTGTTTCCTGGAATGCTTTCCCCCTAGATCTCTGAATATCTAAATTCCTTCAATCTTTGTTAAATGTCAGTCTTCTCAATAAGGCTACTCCTTTAAATATTTTAAAATTAAAAATATTTTAATAGATCTCCATCTCTTTATCTTTGACTAGATAAAACATCTACATGGCTGAAAAAGTGGAAAGATCACAAGAATACATAGTGATAACTTTTCTTCTCATTCCTGTCCTCCCCCAGAGACCACCCTCATTTCTTGTATATCCTTCCAGTGATATTTTACACATACAAAAGCAATATATATCCACTCCTCTTTTTAATACAAATAGTAATATGTTATACACACAGTTCTGCTTCTTTTTTCATTTATCTATCTTGGAGCTTGGTTGGCTACATTGTATTTCATTATATGACTATTCCATAATTTACTCAAAACTTTGGTACCAGACTTTTCAGAATTCAGGATTCTAATACTTTGCTATTTTAAACAATGCTACAACACTATCTTCGTACTTTTGTCATTTATCCCATATGTGAGAATATCTGTGGGAAAAATTCCTAGAAGTGGAATTGCTGGGTGAAAGGTAAGTGCATTTGTAATTTGGAATATATGTTACCAAATTACTCTCTATTGAGTTTGTACCAATTTACTTTCCAAAAAGCATCATACAAGTGACTCTTTTCTCTATGTCTTCACCAACATGGTGTATTATCTTTGCCAATCTTATAGGTAGAGAGGTGTTATCATAATTTAAATATTTTTCTTATGAGTTAGGTTAAACTCCAAAAAGTAATTTTTCTTTTCTTTTCTGTTAATTGTCTGTTCATAGGGCACTGGTTTTGTCTTTATTTTTCTACTCCAGTGCACTTGAAGGGTAAGATGCACATGATTTTGGGGGAGGGGAGTGGGAAACAAGAAGGTCCGAGAAGTCATTGGACTCTCCTGGGTCACCTTTGATGATCACAATAAAGACAAGGGTCTTAGAATCTTAAATTTGCCAGGAACTTTAGACAAAATATAGTTCAATTTTTTAGTTTTGGTTTTAGTTTTTACCACCACCATCTCCTCCACCCACTCCATTCCCACGTTCATTAAAATCCTGGAGGTGCTTCACTTCTGAAAACATTCCTAACCATTAAAAAAAGTGCAATCAACATACGCTCCTCAAATGTATTGCATACCACTTGTGTATGCTTTTTCATAGAATATATGAAAAGTTTGCCTGTCAGTTCTGCCTATGCAAGTCCACACTTCTGAAATCCACAATCCTGAAATCTAAAGTGCTCTTAAAAACTGAAAGTGTTTCAATAAGTTTGGCCCCAAAACTTATTTTAGTTAGTGGCAAAACCTGACCTGAATCAATGGTTGCAATTTAGAGTCTTAATTGCATAAACGTGGATATTCAAATGTTTTTCAGAAGAATTGTTTATCTGTTTTATTATAGGATACTTCCCTAGACCTTGCTGGGGACCTTGCATAATGGTATATTACATTTCCAAAATATGTAAAATCTTGAATATTGGAGAGCACTTGGCCCTGAGGGTCAGATAAGGAATTGTGGACCTGCATCTGGACTTAAAAATTCGTCATTACTTGGGAAGGTTTTTTTCTTTTAATATGAATTTATTGATTTGAGAGACTGAGAGAAACATGTTTGTTATTTCACTTATTTATCCTCACCAGAGGATATATTTCTATTGATTTTAGAGAGAGAGAAAGGGAAAGGGAGAGAGAGAAAGAGAAACATCGACAGGTTGCCTCTTGTACACTCCCCTTCCAGGGATCGAGCTCGCAATCTGGGTATGTGTTCTGACTGGGAATTGAACCACTGTGACTCTTTGGTGCATGGGATGACGCTCCAACCAACTGAGCCACACCAGCCAGGGTCATTGGTTGCTTCTTGTATGTGCCCTGACCAGGGTATCAGGATGATGCCCTAACCAACAGAGCTACCTGGCCAGGGGACTTCGGAAAGTTTTAACTCTGCACTGGTCTTCTTAAATTCAGGCCTGTGTGTGTCAGCTCATGTAAAGTTATTCAGACAAGTCCAGGAGAGTCAGCTGTGCAATAGCATCATGATATTGTTCAATTATAAATACTTACAATGCTTATCTCAAATTTTGGGTCCTTCTCTGACTTTAAATGTGTCTTAAGGAACATAAGTTATTTAGAAATATTGTTAATGATTCAACTTGGAAACAAAAATTTCACACCACTCCTCTCTTAACTAATATATAGAAATTAGAAGGCGAGCTGTTAAAAAAGCTGTTATATTTATAACTATGCATGTGGGAAAATCAGAATTTTCTTCATATTGTAACATTAAAACAAAATACAGAAATAAATGATCTACAACTATAATTGTAAATATGTGCATAAACTTAGTTACTCTTATTGCCATCCTAAAATATTTAAAATATGACTTTACTAAATATGTTTATATTGATTAAATATGGTGTTTAACTCATTTTACACACTGGAATTTCTCATAAAATTTTATTTGGAAAGAGCCTTACACAGTTACCCAAAGGTATAAACAATGGAAGAGGACAGTGGTAACTAGAGATTGTGTATTCTGCAATCCTTGGAGGAAAGAAAGGTGACCTTTGGGTTGTTACAGATGAAGAATGTGGATGGGATTATAGAAAAGAGAATTTATTTCACACAGTGTTTTTCTGCATCAGTGATTTTAATATGGATTTTTAGTGGTTATCAACAACTAGTCAAATAACTCTTTTTTACACACTCTGGATTCTGAACTAGTGAATTGTGGGCTCAGCCCTCTCCCTCCATCTCTTTCTTGATCCAGTCCACGTAGCTGAGTAATTTGGTGTAGAATCCGTACCCCCTGCTACACCCGATGCCCCAGGATACTATGCCCGTGGCCACCCAGCGGTCGTTCGCATCCTTCACTGCATAGACCCCTCCACTGTCCCCCTGACAGGCATCCTGCTTTTGAGTCGGGTCCCCAGCACAGAACATGTTTTCAGAGAACACGTCTTTCCTGTTTTTATCCCGGAGCCACTTCTCACATAGCTCTCGTTGAGCCATGGGCAGACGGACAAATCTGAGATTATGAGCGAGCCTATCTTCCCTTATCCCGAATCCACTGACATAGCCCATGAGTCCCCTCTCATAGAAGGTCTCGTTGTCAGGGAGGCAGATGGGCAGGAGGTTGGGGCCTAGGGTGACACTATTTTCCAGTTCCAGGAGGGCAATGTCCCCCTCAAAGTTGTGGGACTCTTCCTGGTGGTAGTCTGGGTGGATGTGGACCCTGCGGACAGGGTGGTTTGCTAGTTTTGTGATCTCTTCCACGCTTACGTGGCCCATGAACACATCTATGCTGGCATTGGCTTGCGAGCTGTACTCCTTGGGGAAGAGGGTGTGGGCAGCTGTGAGGATCCAGCGGTCGCCCAGCAGGGCTCCACCCCCTCTCCCATAGATGTTGGTGAACACCTGCCAGGGGAAGTTGCCCATCTTGGCTTCTTGCCCTCCAATGATGCGCTGCTTCTCTTCCACAGGGTGGATGGGTTTCCCACACACTGGAGAAGGGAGACAGTGAAGGCAGGGATAAGTCAGCTCCAGGCCCACCCCTCTTTCCTCCTGTGGTCAGTCAGTCAGTCCCCTTTCACCCCCTCTTATTAGCTCTGGGCCCTTTCCTCACTCTCCTCCCATCCCAACAGCTTCATCTCTGGCCTATGGTCAGCCTGTTCTCCTTGTTCTTGTTTATTTCTTCCTGTTTTTTTGTTTATTTTTGGTTGTTGTCGCTGTTTTTAATCCTGATTTCCTGTCTGCTCAGTGAAAACGCTGGTATGTCAGGACTGCGTCCAGTTCTCTGCATCTCTCTCCCTTTCTCCTGGGACATCTCTCTTTTTCTCTTATTCCTCATGTCTATTTTTAACTTCAAGCTGGAGTGTCTCTCCACTCGATTTGCCTCCATTCTTCGCGCATGCTTTTTCTGGTGCCCTACAGGGTTGCAAAAGTCAGCAAGTATGTCTCCAGAGGGTTTCCACTCACCTGGCAAACACCGAGGAATCTTCTCTCCTTCCTCTTCACTCTTCCAAATGCCCTGGGCTGTGCAGGTATATATCCCTTGGGGGAGAAGGGACTATGATCAGGTTGGAGGTGGTGGGCAGGGAAACCACGTGGCAGAGGTCAATGAGCACTGAGTGTGTTGGGCAGAGGCAGGGGAGAACTGGAACCAGCATAGGCAAGAATCAAGGACAAGGTTCAAACATATGAGTGGAGCATCGAAAGTGTGACGAGGTTTCATACATATATTTTTGTTCTAATGTTACGTGAAAATATTAGAATACTTAACTATATGTTTGATGTGATTCCTATTTGTGAAAGAAGACACAAAAACTGGGAGGAGTGTATCTAGATCTTACCAGTGACTAGGTGTCTTGGTTTCTTCATAGCGGGTTGTAGATAGCCATGGTAGCTACATTTCGGATTGCTGACAATGCACCACAGCTTGTTGCTAAGCACTTTATCAGCATTATCTCATTTAAGTACCACAGTGACACTTGCAGGCATGCATTATTACTCTCATTCTATAGAATGAGGAAACTGAATTTACATAATTTACACAAGGTCAAAGGACTTCTAAGTTCCAGAACTAAGATGCAAAGTAAGGGTTGCCTGACTTCAAAGCCCAGCTCTTAAATAATACCATGTATAAGAATTTTCCTTTTTTTTTTTTTTGCCTGTTTCAAACCAGAAAGTATGTGATTTCTTTCATTTAAAGAAAGTTTTAAAGATACCCATAGATGAATTTGAGAGTCATTCAGCAAGCCTAAATGCAGACTATCACAACAGATCAGCCTGAGGGGTATGTAGGGAGAATGCTGGGGGAGGTCCCACTGATATAGCTGTAGTGGTAGTGGTGGTGGTAATGGTGGTGATTGTGTGGTGGTGTTGGTAGTGATGGTGGTGTCTTGTTATTGGTATTGGTGGTGATGGTAGTGATGGTAGTAGTGGTGGTATGGTGGTGATGATAGTGGTGGAGGTGGGGGTGGGGGTGGTGATGGTTGTGATAATGGTGATGGTTGTAATGATGGTGGTGGTGGTGGTGATGGTGGTGGAGGTGGAGGTGAAGGTGGCGGTGTGTGGGGGGATGGGGGTGGGGCAGTGTTGGTGAAGAGGGTAGTCATGGTGATGGTGGTGGTGAGAGAAAGCTGACTATTTATGAGATTCAAGTCTTTCTTTGTCACTCAGGTGCTTCCTTCTTCAACACTACTAAAGTACAGTGCACTGTACTTTAAGGCCCTGAAGCCAGTGTATTGGGCAGATACCTTATTATATATTCCCTAGGGTACTGGCAGAAATCTCAGAAGATGTCTTGAGACGATAGAGGGGAAAAACTGCCATTTGCATGGGCCCCTACCTTGCTCGGACTTGCTGCTACCACTTCTGGTCTTCATCTTGTAATATGGCTCATTGCAGTAGTACTGGATACGGGCCTGGTAGGTGTTCACGCTCTTTGTGGTGATATACATGAAGGCCCCATTACGTATCCTTTGGGGCTTCCCACAGTCCTTGACTGGGAGAGAACACAGGCCGTATGAGAGTTGATAATGATGGCTGGAACGTCAGTGGAATAAATGTGAGTTGTTTACCCACAGAACAGGCTGAGAAACTTAGAGAAATATGGTCAGTGGTGGGTATTTGGGATGGATGGGAACTGGGTGGAGTAAAGATCAGTTTTGGGTAGAGACCATCAATCCTGCTGAGATGAGGGTTGCCTGGTTCCTGAGATGGGCCATAGGCTTCAAAGAACAAGTCAAGGGGAGGGTCTTTTGGGAAGAGGCTTACTTCCAGACCCCCCGTTTCCTTTCTCAGCGTAGGTCCCCAAAGCTAGAGGGGTGGGAGATCCCTAGGGGCAGACACATCTGAGTTGTCACTTACTCCTGCACCTGGGCATGGCACGATGCCATGTGCCATCATCCTGGCAGACAGCTGTGAAGGAAAGCAGCACCTGGTTGCCCTGTTTGAACAGATGTAGAGGTGCCATTACTATAAGGAGGCACTGCAGCTCCCTTCCTGCCCTTTCCCACATAGCAGGCAGTGCAAAGACAGCTCTCAAAATCTCAGACCTCAGCCCCTGTGGATGTGGCTCTTTCATCCTCCTTAGCCAGTCCTCTCAGACCAGCATTACACATGGGAGCACTGAGTCACACAGGAGAAAGTCAGGGAGAAGGCTAATTGTCAGACCCAATAATCCTCTCTCTAGACTCTTGCCTGTTTCCACTGAGGTCTAGTTGAACCCAACAATTTTATTTATTTATTCACTTAATTTAAAATATTTTCTATTATAGTTGATATTTATATTAGTTTCAGGTGTATAGCATAGTTGTTAGACACTTATATAATTTACAAGGTGATTCCCCTGATAATTCAAGTACCCACCTGGCACCATACCTAGTTACTACAGTACTATTGATCATATTCCCTATGTACTATACATTCCCATGACTATTTTATAACTACCATTTTGTACTTCTTAATCCCTTCACTCTTTTTACCCAGCCCCCAACACTGCTCCCCTCAATTTTAAATTAGTTTTGAATCTCACAAATTAAAAAATAACAAGCCTGGCCCGGCCGGGTGTGGCTCAGCAGTTGAGTGTCGACCTAGGATCCAGGAGATCCGGGTTTGATTCCTGGTCAGGGCACATGCCCGGGTTGTGGGCTCGATCAATGACTCTCATCATTGATGTTTCTATCTCTCTCTCTCCCTCTCCTTTCCTCTCTCTGAAGTCAATCAAGATATATTTAAAAACAAAACAAAAAAAACAACAAAAAAACCAAAGCCTGGTTGTGTGTTTTCTGCATTGAAACAGAAGACTCTTCCCTGAAGTAGAATCACGTTGCTCTCCCTGTGGAATTCCCTGCCGGACTACGCCTGCATCACTTTATCTCTCCTAGATTGTAATTTTCTTGAGGGCTAGAGTCTTTCCTGAAATACTGGTGCAGCCCAGTCACTTTCCAGGGTGCTTGAAATGCTGATGTGCTAAGTGCTGTTGCACTTGAGCAGATAGCAGGGAAGAGGCAAGAAAATGGTTGCCTTGGAAATGAAAAGTGTTTGGACAATAAAAATGCATTTTATTAAGACCAACAACCATCCTAGAGTATTAGCCCTAGAAAAGAGTGTAAGAGAATGTGCATGAAAACTAGGATGTCTGAATGAAATAATGTGAGATACTGTGTGACTTGCTTTAAATTCTGTGAATGATAAATGCCAAGGTAAGTGTGGGTGTGGCGTAGAAAAGGGGAGGTTGTAACCAGAGCAAAGAGTATGTCCAGTCTTCTGGACCCAGGACACCCAGTCTTCATGATGTAGCTGGAGGCATCCTGCAGTAAAGTGCAAGTTCACCTGGCTAACTCAGTTTGATGCAACAGTCAAATGTAAGCTCCATGAAGGCTGTATGAATATGTTTGTTTGTTTTTTACTGTACCTCTTGCATCTAGAACCCTGCCTGACACTCAGCAAACACTTAAAATATTTGTTGAATGAATAACTACTACTTAAGGACATACCAAAGGTCCCTTCTCTGATTCTGATTAGGCCTTCCAAGTGGATCTAGTGAACAAAGATGGGGTATGCAGTCCCGGGTCCCTGGCCAAGGCTAACTCCAAGCCTATGTTTTTCAAAATGGCACTTTAGTTTACCAGCTTTTGTGAGATTGGTCAATGGATAAAACCACATTCTTTTTTGAGTCTGTGAAGGACAGGATGGTGGGCCCAGGTTGAGACCACCCATGTGCATAAAAAAGCCCTGGAGCAAGAGGAAGATTAGGTCCAGGTCCCTGCTGTTCAAAATCATTATGATGTCAAATGAGTCACTCCTGGTACTTCACTTCCTCCCCTGACTTTTCAGTTCCTAATTCTACAATGAGTTATTAGACTGGATCAGTAGTTCTTGAACTTGGTTGTACATTAGAATCACCCGGGTAGTTTTAAGTAATCCTGATGTCCCGGCTGCACTCCAGACCAATAGAATCTGTCTTTAGCAGGGGACCCAGATGTCAGTATTTTTTAAACTCTAAGAGTTTCCAATGTGCAGTCAAATTTGAGAACTGGTAGACCAGGTGACCTTTCCAGCTCTAACATCTGTGATTCCACCTGGGGCTGAGCCTAAATCTGCTGTGGGTCCATCCATCTGAATTCCTCCTGGAATGCTGGGCCAGCTCTCTCTCTTTCAGCACTGGGATCTTACCTCAACGAGCTGGTAGCCTTGTTTGCAGGTGGCAATGAAGTAGTCACGGAACTGGTACTGAGACTGCAGGTTCTGGATGATGGTGAACTCATCTAGGGTTTTGGGCTGCGGGCACTTGATGACTGTGGTGGAAACCAGAGGGCACATTTATTTCAGAGCCGCTTACCTTCATTCTCCCTCCCTGATCCTGCCCCATTGCTGGCCAGTGAAGGAGGCCCTCGGGCAACCTTACTTGAAGTGGTATAGTGCAGCTTCCAGCCCCGGCTGTCCCCCGAATCGTCTGTGAAGAACAGCAGATCCACAGCATTGCTGTTGGTGTCAAGGTCAGCGGGTCTTTGCTTCCCACAGAACTCGCCGATGTTCCTCCCACTGGCATAGATCTGGTGGAATAGGAGGGAGGGTAATCTCTCCAATGCAGACATCTTCCCATAGGGCCAGGGTGGTAGTGGTAATCTTGCTTTGTGTGTGTTTTCAACTGGAGGGGAAAAGGGATCCCCAGGACCCACTTCCTTTTGTGTAGGAGCTAGCACAGCCCATGTGTGATGTTGGACACTCCTGTTCCAATTGGTCAGAGGATCCAGCAGGCAGTAGGGACAAAAAGAACTGAGTGGGGTTGGGAAGGAGAGGGTGGGGTCTCTCTGGGGATAGGATGGCTGTACCTGTAGCTGGTCATAGGGGCAGTGTACTTGCTGGTGGTCATCAATTTCAAAAGGCTCCAGGAACTTGAGGTGGATGGTGTAGCCCCGCTCCACTCGGATGCTGTAGTTGCAGCGCAGGTCAGGGGGGTAGGGCTGGGGGTACTCCATGCTGAACACGTAGCCTGCTGGCTCTGTGTACAGCTCACTGCTGCACTCAACTGTGAGAGCAGAGCCGGGAGGAGGTCACCAGGAGACTCTCTGGCTGGCCCAGCAAGCCCTTGCTCAGCCTCTGCCTCCCTCCCACACTACCCAACCTCACCCTGGCAGGAATGTCCATCCTTCTGAAGCTCATAGCCTGGACGACAGGAACAGAAGTAACCGCCAACATAGTTGTGACAAAGGTGTTGGCACCGGGGCTGGGAATCCTCCTTAACTGCATTTTGCTGGGAAACACATTCATCAACGTCTGGAAGAGATTCCGGAAGGAAGGATTAAATTCCTGCCAGGGGACTTCTGTAGTGGCGTGGGGCTCAGAGCTGTCTCTCACTGGAGGCCATAAGACCAAGTCAGCTCCTAACCACCTGGACCCCAGGCCTCTCTAATGCTTTCTGGGAACTACCCAATGGGGACAGAGCCCAGGTTGGCATGCCTTTTCTGGATAGAGCTCTTTTGAGGGGAAAAAGAAGGAAGGCCAGGCTTCCTGCTTCTTTGGATTCAAGATTCCCTCTTTCCAGTCCCCATTCAATATGACTGAGACCCGAAAAAGGGAACCCGGGAACCACTCACCCACAGCTTGGTAGTAGGCCAAGAAGCCTTTGTAGAACATCATGGTGCCATTCTCCTCGTTGGAGAAGTCTGTGTGGAAGGTCAGTAGCATCTTGTTTCCTTCAGATATAAATTCTGTATTTCCTGGGGGGTTGCCCAGTGGAGAATCCTGTTGCCCACAGAACCTCCCCAGGGTTCTCTTATCAGCAGAGATCTGGTGGAGGAAGGACAAGGGGTAGGAAGAAGGGCTGTTGAGACATGTCCCATGTGGAAAGTCAGTGATGGTCCTCCTTCTCTTGTACCAAGGAGAATAATGCTCCACTTCTGGAATGGTCTCCACCCGCTGGGTTCTGGCCATTGCAGACTTCCCCAGGTGACTTTCATTTGTCCACCTGAGTCTCCCATCAGCTAACCCTTTTCACCTTCTCCTGTGGCCCTTCCCTGTTTATGTTCCCCCAGCACCTTCTTCATTCCCACCCTCTCCCATGCCTGTGATCCACTGGGGCCTTGGTTGTGTCTACCCAGCCTTTCTCTTTCCTTCATTCTCAGAACCTTAATTTCTATCTTGTTATTTGACCTCACCTCATTCAAACTGTTCACATCTGGCTGGGTCTCCTGACACACAGCTGAATGTGAGCCTCGGGCCCTTAGCATCAGCGAGCATCACCCAGCTTCCCTTATTTCTTGCTTCATGATTAGTGAACTTGTCAAAAGCAGGTGTCCTTTCCCTAACCCTGTTCCTCACTATCCCTGCCGCCAAGACCCCTCCCTTCAACACTGCAAACCTCCCAAGTCCTCTGGACTAGGAAGGCGTATCATTTTCATGTTATTCTATCACAGCCTCCTGGGAATGGTATTAATTCAACATGCGTAGGTTCTATTTGAATCCTGAATCTAGAATCTCATTTTTATTGGATGTAGGAAGATGGGACTGGGAGGGTACCCTTGGTTATTATGGTGGTTAGGGGACTGAGTCCATTGTCCTTCCTGAAGACTATGCTTGAGCTACCACCACACACATTTCTGTTCCCCATGTTCCTGTGTTCCTGATGAAGCAGTTGGCATGGTGATGTTCTTCATGGAAACAGGGAAACTGAGGCACAGCTGTTTCTCAAAGACTCCCAGCAAGGAAACAGTTGGGGAAGTGTTTTCTGACTCCTGTAGATGGTAAATTTCTTGAGAGCGGGGATTGTACCTTCCTTCCTCTGTGTTTCTCCCCCATGGTGCTCAATGAAGGCCTCTAAAACTGGTGGACACCATTCATGGCATCACTTGACTCCCAGAACTCCACTCTGCCATCAGCTGTTATAGGGTTGGGGCTGTGTCCACAGATGGGGAGTGCTAACCAGAGTGGTTAGAGAACAAATCCTCAGGTTCCAGAGCCACCCAGCTCTCCCTCTGCCCTCCCAACCTGACCTCCTACCTTGACATAGTCATAGAAACAGCCTTCAGAAGGCTCCAGGTCAAACTGCCAGAAGACGAGCTTCACCCTGTATCCTGTGGCAACTGTGATCACAGTTGTGGTCTCAAAGTTGTTGGGGTAAGGCTTGGGGTACAGAGGGGAAGTCACCTCCCCATAGAGCTCCTGAGCGATGGGGATGGAGCCTCCCAGCCTGCAGAACAGGACTGACACCAGGAGGTATAAAAGCCACCTGCCAGAAAGAAAGGGAGTATCCAGAGGGCTATTTGGGCAATGACAGGGGTGGGGGATGGGATGGTCATACCGCTGGGCATTTTCCTCTCTGCCCGTTCTAGACCCACAGATGTTCCAGGGGGGTGTGGGTGGAGCAGGGAGGCTGGTCTCTGCAGCTGCTGCATGGTCGTTCCTCCCCCCGGGCAGAGTCCAGTCCAGATGTCATCACGAGGCCTTCACCTCTCTCTCCATCTTTTTCCCCTGCCCTGTCCCATTACTCTCCCTCCCCCATTCCTGGAACAAGGCTGGCTTGGGACCAATTAATTGAGGGTGAGGGTTTCCAGTCATGGTTCTCTGAAAGGGTTCCCAAAGGCTCAGCAAAGACCTCAGGGAGAAACTGCCTGTGGAGTAGGGAGTGCCACACAGAGGACACCCTTCCTGGGCAGAGTGGGTTCCCCCATTTTGGCACTCTCCTGCTACGAGCTGAGAAGGAGAAGGGGATGTGGCATCACCTTACATGTCTGAGGTCTCGTTTTGCCCTCAGGGGAGAGATGGGGAGTATGTGCTTGAGTGTGCATGCATGTGCACACTGGAGTAGATAAGGGATATCGGGAGCAGAGGCTGTTCTTGTCTCCCTGAATGCCCAGGGCTCTCCCCTCTGGTTTCTCCCTCCCTCCTTGGTCCCCATCAGCCTTACTCACATTTCTTAAGTCCTATTTTTGGATCCTGCACTCTCCTGACAGCGTCTTCATCCACTCTGTGTAGAAGGAGAGAGCGGTCATGTAGAGGAGGGAAGGGGAGGGAGGGACTGACTGTGGAGGGGGAAGGGAGGCCTTTCCCGGAGGGATGTTGTAGGGAACGAACCATTTGCATAAACAAAACTGAAAAAAAGCTGTTCCCACTTTAATTTAGTTTTGTTTTTGAATTCCCTGATGGTGGTGCCACCTGCTGGCCTACATGGGGAAGGGTCAGTTTTTAGGGACAGGAAAAACTTCATTGGGGGCCCAGACTTCTTGTTTTCTAAATCTGATCTGAATTCTCCCTTTTTTCAGAGACTTTCCTCGGGACTGTTGCTGTATTTACAAGGCTCCAACCCAAAGTGCAGTGGAAATCACAGTTGAGGGGACTCTTTTCTGGACTGCCCTTTTCCACTAACTCAGTTGGTCTTGCCTTTAGTCACCCAGCAGCCCTGGTCCAGGAATGGCCAGGGTTTTGATGCCCAGGATGTGACAGGGGCAGAGGAGGGCAGTAAAGGTGTGGAAAGAGGAGAATGGAGTTTGGTTGCATTGGGGCCCTGCATGAGTGGCTTACTTCACTCATGAATGACACTTAGACAGAACAGGCTGTCAGGGTGCCGCCAAAGCCGCACTAGGGTCTGTCTTAAGACTCTTCTTCTCCACCTCAATGAACTCAGGCCTGCCAATGAACTTGGCTCCTAGAGAAGCAAGGGCAGCTGTGGAGTGGTAGAGACAGTCTCTTTTCCTCAGCATTTGTCAAGAGTTTGATCCCCTGAGGGTCACGATTGTCTATGGCTAGGTGAACAGAGTGGCTGTGGACCAATAATGACTTGAGCGGAAACCAGATCCCTGGGAGGGAGGAAAGCTCTTGTCTCTCTTGTCCACCAGGACACAGTGTCCTGTTTTAAAGGCTTGCTCTTCGAGTGAGCCTTTCTTCATCAACTCTCCATGGCTCAAGTGCCCTATGGCACTGTATTCCACAGGGAAGCTGGTCTGCAGAGCAGGCCTCTGAGCTCTGAGGCCTTTGTAGTGTATCTTGATTGTTTCCTGTATTAGATTAATTCCTCTATCCCTGCACCCACTCACTCATTCATCATTAATGGGCGACCTACCTAGGATGCCAGACACTTCCCTAGGCAATGGATTGCAAGGACTCATGAAGATGGGGCAGTTCCCTGTTAGGCAGCTATAAAGTCATCACTGAATATAGTTAGAGAGCTGGCACATGGAAGATGCAAGATTAACTAAGGTCTGGAGGGTTTCTCCAGCAGGCTTATATGTCAGAGCTGAGGAATGAATCCTATGGCAGGGCTGATCCGTGGCATTACCCATGACATGACCTATGGCCTTGTCAGGTCAGGAAGGACAAAGGATAGGGCAGAAGAATAAGGACAGATCAGGAGACAAGAAAGAGGGAGATTCTGGTCTAGCAAATTGCACATTAGCATCCTGACAGCAGTGTTTGTGTTTGTGTTTGTGTGTGTGTGTGTGTGTGTGTGTGTGTGTTCATGGTGGGGGCAGGATGGCAGAGGAAACTGGGAAGGAGGAGGTGTTCCCAGAAGGAAAGTCTTAGCTGAACCTCTCCTATCCCATCTTACAGATTCTGAGTTCTGTCCTGGTAGTATGCACCTGACTGGAAAGTGACAAACCTGGACCTCATTAGCTCCATCCCACCCCAACCTCCACTCTGCCCAACCACTCAAAATAACCTTTAATTACACACTTGACTTATGCCCTTGACTTATAACGAGAATGGAAAGAAGAAACTGCCATATGCAGATTGTTCAGGCACTTGCTTTAAAACCAGTGTTTGAAGACATTGTCTCCTACATTGTCCATTCCTCTTGGGGTTTGAATCTGGGGGGAGATTTTTCTCCCTTAAAGTAGTGGTAGGTTTCCCTTTGTGGATGTATCTATAATTATATCTAGATATATAAATAGAGATATATAGATATAGGTATATGTTTTTGCCTTGGTAGGGAGAAACTCGTGTCATTTTAAAAAATATATATATTTATTGATTTCAGAGAGAGGAAGGGAGAGGGAGAGAGAGATAGAAACATCAATGATGAGAGAGTCATTGATCAGCTGCCTCCTGCACGCCCCCAACTGGGGATGGAGCCCGCAACCCAGGCATGTGCCCTGACTGGGAATTGAACCTCGGTCTCCTGGATCCTAGGTGGATGCTCAACAGCTGAGCCATGCCAGCCAGGCTCATGTCATTTTTTCATTAATAAAAATTAAAAAATAAAACATACATGTTCATTAAATAAAATTTAGCAAGTAGAGAAGAACAGGGGAAAACAAAACAGAATTACACCACTTAAAAGAAACTTTGATGAATATTTTAGAGTACTTTTAATAGTTTCTTCTACTATGTACAGGCTTATAAAATAGAAGTAACCACATTTGACCCCTATTTTTTAAAGATCCATTTAACCTTTAACTATATCGCTAACTTCATTTTCAACAACTAGCACATTTGCTCTCTTCTCGGTTTTATTTATTTTCTAGTTCTATTTGAATAAGTGTATTTTATTTGCCCTTTTTACTCTAAACCACCTGATGTCCTTTCTAAAGATTAAAGAGTTGACCATGTCAGGTGGAGCATGGCCCTGGGTGCCCCGCAGCACTGGGGGTGTCTGTGGGAACATCCAGCCCAGGGCTGGGCCCAGGAGATGGGGCCCCAGGAAAGTGTGAGCCAGGTGACATCCTCCTCAATGAAGCAGGAATTTGCAGGGAGTGAGAATATGTAGGGGACTGGGAAAGGGAAGTGGGAGATACAGCAGGTCCTGATGCCCCCTGAGAGGTGTGAAGGTGCACTGGAAAGCATATGGCCTTGGCAGTCTAGGACCAGCTGTGGCATTTGGGCAAGTCACTTTATCTCTCTGAACTTCAATCCCCTCATTTAAAATGTAGGTCATGAGAATGGAAAAAGACTTGCATTGAGTCTTTGAAAAGTATTCCTGCAGTAATAGAGTCCAGTTGTCCCTAGATGAAAGGTTGATCCATACATTTCCTAACAAAGCTTAAAAGTGAGCCTGAAAAGATCAAACATATTCCAATAAAACCTGCATCTACATCTTCTTTACCCAATCATCTATCAAGGGACACTTCGGTTGTTTCCATATCTTGTGGTACATATACAATGGACTACTACTCAGCCATAAGAAAAGATGATACACTGCCATTTGCGGCAACCTGGGTGGACCTTGAGGGTATCATGCTAAGTGAAATAAGTCAGACAGAAAAAGTCAAGAACCATATGATATCACTCATATGTGGGATATAAATCTGAAAGCAACAAATGAGCAAACAAACAAACGAAAACTCATAGACACAGACAACAGTGTGGTGGTTACCAGAGAGAACGGGGGTTGGTGGGAGGTAATAAAGGGTAAAGGGGGTCAGATACATGGTGAGGAAAGGAGATTTGACTTTGAGTGGTAAGTACACAATGCAATATACAGATGATGTCTTATAGAATTGTACATTTGAAAAGGACAATTTTATTGACCAATGTCACCCCAATACATTTTTTTACCCCAATAAATTTAATAAAAAACTGCATCTAAAAACAAACTCCAACAACATTTAAAGGAGTAAAAATAAACTTAAATCTATAAACCTAAAAAAAAATGTGGGTCAAAACACATCCTTTGCAAACTTGGTGTGAGGAGTCAATGAAATAACATATGTGAAGTGCCTGGTATACAGAAGACGTGACAAAAACCAAGCTGATACTGTAACTGCAGCTAGGAGTTGTGGTAGGTGAAGCTGCTGACAGTTTAAATATTTGAAGGTCAATTAAAGGGGCTTTGGAATGTTTTGGACATGAAATGCAATTAAGACCACTTCCCCCATACACCACTTGAACAAGGGGATGAGAGGCTGGCTGTCTCCCAGGAGGGACAGATGAAGCTGTGTCAGCAGAAGATGAAGTTCAAGTTCAAAGTGAAACTTACTGAGATGCACAGGGCTTCCCTGGGCATAGCACAAACTCACAGGAAGGTAGAGGGTGAGGAGGAGGGGCTGGGGGACACCCTTCCTATCTAGGATGGGGTCAGCCTTGAGTAGAGGACGAGTTCTCTCTTAGTGACTTGAATAGGGATTCCCTGCCCACCCACCTCTCCATCCACAGGCTCAGTCTTTACTTTCAAGCCTCTTCTGTCTGAGGCCTCCACAGTGGTGGTGCCATTGCTCAGTGAGCCCAGGGTCAGCCCTTTCCACTCATCACTCCCTTGATCCAGTCCACATAGTTGAGCACTTTGGTGTAAAAGCCGTACCCTTTGCCACACCCAATGCCCCAGGATACGATGCCTGTGGCCACCCAGTGATGGGCACGATCATCCCATACTACATAAACACCACCACTGTCTCCCTGGCAGACACTCTGCTGCCTTGACTCATCCCCAACACAGAACATATTGTCAGAAAACACCTCAGTCCTCTGTTTCTCTTGAAGCCAGGCCTCGCAGGCTTCCCTCGGGGCAACCGGCAGCCTTGAGTATTTCAACTCAGTGGTTAACCAGCCCATCTCCACACCAAACCCACTGACATAGCCCATCAGGCCACTGTGGTAAAGGGTCTCGTTGTCCGGCAGACAGACAGGGAGGAGGCTAGGGCCGAGGGGGACACTATGCTGGAGTTCTAGGAGGGCAATGTCCCCATTGAAGTTGTTGGACTCTTTCTGACGGTAGTCTGGGTGCACAACCACACGGCGCACAGGGTGGTTTCCCAGTTTTATAATCTCATCTATGTTTGTGTGGCCCAGGAACACGTTCACACTCCTCTTCTTCCCGAGAAAGATGGTGTCCTTGGGATAGATGGTGTGGGCGGCAGTGAGGATCCATCTGTCGCCCAGCAGGGCCCCGCCTCCACGGCCATAGATATTGGTGAAGGCTTGCCAGGGGAAGTTGCCCAGCTTAGCTTTGGAAGAACCCTGGGCCTCCTGGTTCTGGGCGATGGGGATGACTGGCTGTCCACAGACTGGGATAGAAGAGAGGTAAGGGTAAGAAACCAGCATGGGCAAAGCCACATTGATTAAAGACCTACTTCTATGAAGTGCTTTTCCTCCTGCCTCCTTAGCTATTTTAAGCTGCTTTTTTAGATTCTTGGTGGGACCACCCCGGGCAAGCACATATAGCAAGCAGAGTTTGCCTTCAGTGCCTCTTGCCTCTGTTTTCTGTGTTATTTCTTAATTTTTAATATGTCCTACTACTACTGTCTGCCAATCCACTCCAAAGCACTACTTCAGGCTGCCCCTAGAGCTTTCTGTGGATCAGGAGTAAAATCTGAGAAATTTATTCAGATTGGGTTAGAAAGGCAATGGTTTGACTAAAAAAAAAAAGTGTTTAAAAAATGGTAGACTTAAATCCTCATATACTGCTGATGGGAATTCAAATTGGTGCAACCATTGTGGAAAACAGTTTGGCAGTTCCTCAAAAAGTTAAACATAGAGTTATGATAGGACCCAGCAATTCCATTCCTACGTATATACCCAAGAGAACTGAAAACCTATGTTCAAGTAGAAGCTCGTACCTGAATGCTCACAGCTGCATTGTCCATAAAGGGCAAAAAGTGGGAACAACCCAAATGTCCATCAACTGATGAATGGATAAACAAAATGTGATATATCCATACAGTGGCATTCTATTCAGTCATGAAAGGAATGAAGTACTGATACATGCCACAGCGAGGATGAACCTTGACCACATTATGCTAAATGAAAGGAGCTAGACACAAAAGACCACATATTATATGATTCCACTGATATGAAATGTTCAGAATCGGCAAATCTATAGAGACAGAAAGCAGATTAGTGGCTGACAGGGGATGGGGGAGAAGAGAGTTGGAGGTATTGGGTTTCTTTTGGGGATGATGGGAATGTTTTAGAATTAGTGGTAATAGTTGCACAGCATTGTAAATACACTAAAAATTACTGAATTTTACACTGTAAAATGGTATGTGAATTTTATCTCAGTAAAAAAGCTAAAAAAAAAAAGGTGAACTTTTTGGCCCTGTGGGATCTAGGTAGGAAGATATTTTGGGGACAGAGAGCCTGCCTGAGTGACCTTAAAGCATACCATACCAAGAAAGAGTTTCCTCTTATTGCAACTCTGGCTCCTTCACTTCCATCTGATTAACTTCCTTCAGGCTTTTGCTCTCTCAGTTATCTCTTGATCTTTGAAGAATAAGAGGCGAGCTCCTTGCCTCTCCTTTTATGGGCCTTCCAGCTTCCCCTCACCTTCCTCTCCTTTGGCCTTTACCTCTTCTTTCCACTCAAAGGCTTTCCTTTAACCCCCTGTAGCCTGTTCCACAGGCTCCACATACAGCCGAGTATTGTTTGGAAAGTGGCCACAGTGACAGCACTGGCAAGTCACTACTTACCAGGCACACAGTGAGGAACCTCCTCCCTGTCCTGTGTTTCTTTCCCAGGGCCCTGGGCTGGGCAGGTGAGTGTCTCTGAGGAGAAAAATGAAGTGAGGCAAAGAAACAGGCTCAGAATTGGGAGGTGGGGCTAAAAGAGTAGGTGACACAGGTCTCTTGGTGGGAGTAAGGCAGATGGAAGCTGGTTCCCCAGCAGGTGGGGACTCACCTGCTGGCACAGCCTGATAATAGGGCTCCTGGCAGTGGTTCTGGATCATAGAGGAGTTGTCTCCAGGTTTCTGTGTGGCCTCAGAGCCCCCACTAATATGGCCGATGGGCCGGTTATGGTTCATACCTGTAGGAAAAAAGTGGTCATTAGGACCTAGAACAGAATTGCAAACTGGCAACCCAGTTACTGATTCTGGCCCATGGCGATATTTAGTTTGATCTGTACAATGTGTTTTTTTTTTTTATATTTGAATTATTTTTCACTGAACAGATTGTCAACGCTAAAAAGATTTGAAAATAACTGTGATAAGTAGGATATGGTGAAACAGGCATTTTCAGACATGATTGGGGGAGTATAAATTAGCAAAATCTCTTTGGAGGGGAAATTTAGCAATATCAAAATTAAAAATGCAATATTTTTCACCTAGCACTTTCATTTCTAAGAATTTACCCTCATATGCATGCTCCAAGATGTATATACAAGATATCCATAGCAGTACTGTTTGTGGCAGCGAAATATTTATCAGTGAAGAACTGGTTGAATGCATTGTGGCATATCAAAGGAATATTATATGGTCATTTAAAAGAACTAGGCAATGCTAGCTACATGTGTATGGGATAATCTTTAAGATATATCACTGAGTGAAAAATGACAAATTTGAAGCATTATGAATAGTATGCAACACACACACACACTTATATTTGAATGGCACAATGTGTCTTTGGAAGAACACCCAGGGAATGGAGAACAGAGTTGTTTCTGGACCAGGTAGCCAGGAACTAAGGGCCAGAGGTCAGAGGAAGACTTACTTTTTACCATATTTTTTGAAATTTTTATCATATGCACATATTATCTTTCAAAAAATTCTTAGTCACCAGTTGAAAATCTGGAACTTTACTTAAAATATGGATTTTTAGCTTCTCTTGAAAAAAAAGATGATCTGCAAGCCCTGGGCCAGTAAATCGGCATGGAAACAACTGCTACAGCTGAGCAATGGCTGCCCTTTACCTGGGCAGCTCACCAGCAGAGTCTAGGAGGGGTCAGGAAAGGGGTTCCTGACCCCCAGTCTTAATAGTCACTCAAGACTCCACAAGATACCAGGCTAGGGCTATGGGCAGAGAGTGTGCCCCAAGATGGACACTCACTCACGGCTTGGTAGAGGACCAGAAAGCCTTTGTGGAGGCCAGTTGTCATGTCCTTAGAGGAGGCAGGAGCACGGAAAGTCAGCTGCAAACTGTTACCCGAGGACACAAACTCCCTCTGACCTGGAGGGCTGCCCAGCAGAGAGCCCACCTGGCCATAGCGCCGGCTTGGATCCATCCCACTGGCTGTGATCTGAAAGGAGAGGCAGGTGTGGCATGAATCGGCACCACAGGTAGTCACAGGGTCATGTCATGGGCATGGGCTCCATCCCCATCTAGCAGGCCTGCACACCTCTGGGGCTAAGAAGCTGTGGCCTGTGGAACCTTGCTCAAGTAGCTTCCTGTTCCATTACTGATTCCCAAGTTTTTTCCAGACATGACCAGATACCTTGCATATTTCTTTCTTTTTATTATTTTTTTAAATTTTTAACCCTATACTGTACACTCTCTGAATACAGAAAGAAGCCGTCCTATCATATAGGTTTCATCTTGAAAAATAATCTAATGGAGTCATAGTCTCTGGCTAGTAACAAACTATTAACATCTTCTGCAAATACAGAGAAAACCCTGGGATTACTAGTAAGTTCTCTGACGTGCTTCCCTACCCCCCATTCAGCATCATCTATGAATACATTTCTGTGAAAGCATCCCAGAATCATTCATAATTAGGAAAAGAAATGGATATGTTCATTTCACCCAATGGACTTTTAGCAGGATGTGATGGAACTTTTTTTTTTTTTTTTTAACCTTGGCAAAAATGAAGCACAAACATAACATTTCACAGGTTTGGCCCATGCAAATGCATGTTTTCTTATGTGGGGCTATTTTAATCTCCCCCCAAAACCACAATTAGCATGCAGGTTGTTTTCGACTACTGAGTGAGAGATAATTATTGGCAGTGCAACTCTTTTGTGTAACCATGGTCACTAAGGCAGGAGTATTATTTCACCTTGTATAGAATGTCGGTGATAACTTGTCAGATGCAGGTTTATACAGTGTGGGCCTGTGACTTACTGGTGTTCTTTTGTGTGTCTGTTTTTTTAAAGGAAAAAAAAATCTCAAAACACAGATCCCTAAACACAATTCGGTTGAAAACGAATTGTTATGCTTTTAGAAATATATTTTAAACTACAGGATGCCCTGTGTATGTGTTTTTTAAAAAAGTTCCCACCCCTAAAAATTTGTCAAATTATTTCTTCGTTATTGGTAAGTCTCACCAATCTGCGATCATGGTTGACTCTTGCTGTGCAACACAATTCTCTGCAGTTAGATTTTCAAGCTGCCCACCTGGAACCCAAATGATCTTTAGTTCCCAATCCATCCTTCTGAGGGTGGTCCCCTCAAAACATGCTCGGCTACCCAGGGGTGCTTTTGGGTGGGGTTAGCTTGGCTGCCCCTTGTTGACCTTCAAGCTCTGGACTTAGCTGGGCTCTGATCTGTAGACCAGTGGAATGTCCTTTGTTTTGCAACAGGAACCCGTGGGAGCTGACTTTGCTTATTCAAGGGAAGCTGAGGCAGTAGAGGCAGCTCCATGGCCCGGCCCAGAAGCAGACGCCAAGTGAAATTTGTGTGTTTGTGTGGGGCCAGTGCAGCAGAACTGGAAAGTCCCCGAGGAGCAGTCCCTGCGCTGGGCATTTCATACCACAGAGCCTTTGGAAGATGACAAGTGGATGGACTGAATCCTGATGGCCAACGTCCTCTGTAAGTCCTGGAGCACGTCCTGGCCCGTCCCTTTGCCATTCTTGTCATATAGGAGCTGCTTGAAAGCTTCGTTTTCAATGAGGACCATCATGTTTTTGAGAAAGTAGCCTTCACAATATGCAGAGAGCTCTGTGACGCCAAGAAACTGTGGAGAGTGGAGAAGAAGCGGGGGATGGTTATGTTTCTGAGATGCACCCAATGGCTTCCATGTGGAATAACGGCGGACCCCTATTACAGTAGATTGATTGTAAAAATGGCCCTGCCTGGCCCGCGGGTCAGTGGTTGAGTGTCGCCTAGGCACGGAGAAGTCCCTGGTTGGATTCCCGGTCAGAGCACATGCCGGGGTTTTGGGCTCGATCCCCAGTAGGGGGCGTGCAGGAGGCAGCCGATCGATGCTTCTCTTTCACACCAATGTTTCCATCTTTCTCTCTCCCCATCTCCCTTCCTCTAAAAATCAATAAAAACATATTAAAGATGGCTAAGCCACACATTTATGGAGTGGGCTTCTCATCTGTATAAACTCCCACAGCTCCCTCAGTTAGATGGAGTTGCCACAGCCTTGCTGACACTTGGAACATTTCCTGGGGTTCCAAACTAAAGTGTTGTTGGTTTCTTTCCTTTCGGTCTCTTTTACTAAACAGGCCTTGATTTGCAGCACAATCTGTCAGTAATAGAATCCACATGGGGGGGGTTGAAACAAGATGGCACGTAGATAACAGCTGCACCTGCTGCCTCCCGCAACCACATCAAAATTACAACTAAAATACAGAACCACCGTCACTCAGAGCCTCCTGAGATCTGGCTGCACAGATGCCCCACAACCAGGGAGCTGAAGCAGCACCGAGAGCGGTAGGAGGGGCACAGATGCCGGCGGATCGGGGCTGAATCGCGGAGATGCGGCCGAGGGCGCACATCTGGTGCTGCTGTTGAAACCTGGGAGGGAATCTCGGCGGCAGAGGTTTCCCGGAGGAGGGAGGAGGGAGGAGGGAG